GGAACCAACAACGCAAAGGGTAATTTGAGCGATTTAAGAACCAACAGCATAAAAATAAATATTAGCAATTTAATTTCAATAATAAGAGGAGCTTTTGTTATCCTGGAACCAACAGCATAAGAACAAATTTTAGTAACCTGATTTTAATAGTAAAGGGGATTTTTTATTATCCTGGAACCAACAGTATAAGTAAAATAAATTTACTACAGGATTTGCTATCTAACTAATTAGGAGTAGATTATCTTATGCAGGGCGTAAAAACCACTAAACATACAGGATAAAAAAGAATCACATTGACTTAATGTTAATATATAGTAGAATATTATATGTGGGCGGGCGGATTTACAACTTAAAATAGCGGCCTGGCCGAGGCTAGGAATATGCACCACGGCCAACGCGTTTCGACGCCAGCAATTCAACCAATCGCCTGGCATCAATAGTTCATCCCCCGCTCTTCGGCCCCGCCACTATTTCGTCTCAGGGCCCCATCCGTGAGGAACGGGCCGTGGCACGATTGGTAACTATCTCACAATTCAGTCACCAACAGTTTTTCTCACATAACTACGCACAGGGAAGATTGGGTCAATAAGTTCCTCTTTAACCAACGCGTACACGGGGCGGTCACACCCCTATGCAGCTGCGGTGACCAGCCAACAGGTGAACGCAGCAATCCTTTATTGCAACCTTCCAAACCTAGAACGCCTTGCAAAGCGAGACGGACCCCAGCGACATGTGCGGCTCGGTTGATATAATGACTGTAAAACGGCAGCAACCCACTAAATGAAGCGGGAGAGAGCTTGTATCGTGGAACACGGGTCGGTGGTTACTTTTTATAGCACACACAACATCAAATCATGTATTGCAAAATCAAAGTCTTTCACGGCTTGGTTTAAAAAGTATAAGTAGCATGAGATTTTACCCTCTTGTAGAGATTTTAGTCCCAAGTTTGTGAAGCTTTAACCGACTGCTTTTTTTTACTTTTTCGACTTGTTAGTGTCGAGGTTTGTGCTTGATCACAATATGCATCTGGTAAAGCTCTTGCTTGGGGTGGTGGTGGCGGCCAAAACTGCCGCTGCGAGCTTCGATGAATGCAAGAATCAAGCAACTCGATGGGACTATTGGTGGTACGGTAGTGGTCCTCTGTACAGATGTACCGACGGCAACACGTGCCATCTATCCCATATTGACTCCAAGACCATCGGGTGGTCAGTCACATCCGGCCTGAGTGTGACGTTCAACATAGCCAAGGCGGCAGCCGTTGCTTTCCAGAACAGCTACACCTTCACAGAAAGCACCACGACCAGCGACACATACTCTGTGGATTACTCGCCGCCAAAGACGGAGCGGCTGTGGATAAAGCAGTGGTTTGCCGTCACCGACATGGATTGCCAGCAGTGTGACTGGGTCTGCAGCCCTATCGGCTCCGTTTCCGCCAACGACACCATCGATGGCTCACTAGAACAGCGTGGCCAGCACTGCGAGAAGGCATGCGACCCGTACCAGCACACGGTAACCTGGGTGCCGTGCAAAGATTCGAATTGCATCGAGTACCAGTTCAGCGATGCATACGGACAATGCGACCACTCGAATCATTGCCAACAGAACTAGGTACACTACGGACACGATGGTGGCGTCTGGTGTTTTTGTCAACCACCCCCCTTGCTGGCACGGGCCGGATGCAACACACTTTAATCACTGTGCTTTTACTCCGTACTGACACATCTTTTTGACAGTGCGCCTTGGTGGCATCGACTGTCAAACCGCTGACTCCATTAGCCAGCACGGAGACTCGTCTACGAAAAACCACTGCACTCAGCCTAGACGTGTCGCCGGCTCACACATGACGCCTCTGTTGTTCGAATTGGGAGGACCTAACCAGTCCATGGTAGCTGGCACGAAGAGACGGGCGTTGAAGGGATAAATAGTACGGTAGTAGAAACTTTTTAATCATCAACGTAAAGTGTCGCAGCAATGCAAGTTTGTCGTCTGTTTTAATTGATCAAGTATTCCTCGTGCAGTGGATCAAATGCTTCACACAAGTCATGTTACATCATGGACATAATAGACGGCCCATATTCTGCCCGAAGAAAGCGCTATTCACAAGTAGGCCCTAAATGTGTTCGGCAAACGCAGAAGACACGAAAAGGATCAAGACGAGTTGTTGAGTTTTGACGTCAGGTCAGTGGAAGGGGTGTCACATGTACATGTGTACCGTCAGATTTGATGTTTCCGTGTATCTGTTGAATAGGTTAGGCGTTTTCTGTTGGTGTGTGGCCGCAATTTCGGCTGCTTCAGGATGTTGAAAGTAGGGCTGTTGGACAGGTATAAAAGAACATTGAAGGCAATTCAGAGCATCTCGGGAAGTCGGAACCTACATCATAAATCAGTTTAGTGGACTTGTAAGATGGTTGAACAGCCGATATTTGCTATGAGAGGTCTGGGCGGGCTCTCTAGCGCTAGTAGACAGAATGAGGAAGGAGAGAAAGTCGTGGCCCACTGAAGCGCAAGTGGCATGGACCCCCAGATATTCTGGACATGGGTATGAGTACCTAGGTAGGGAGCGAGACGGCACAGATTCTCATCATATATCTAGTTAGTCATATCCATTTTGATGTGTTTCTGTGCCTTTTCCTTTTCAACGTATTTTTCAAGGGAAAAGGCAACCCCCCGCTCCCCCCTTCCCTTTTTTTTCTTTTCTTTTTTTTTTTCGCGCCGCTTCAGCCTGTCAAGAAGTATGGCCAAGTTACGCAGCAGCTTGCTCCTTGGTGGTCCTGTTTGGTGGATGTGCCTTCTTGCCGCTCGCTCCATCTCAACTAGTACAATAAACTACAACTCATCAAGCGACTGCAATGTCTCCAACAAGGACTTTGGGCCGCCTTTCAATTCTACCGGCACAGTCTCATTCAACCTCGGCAGTGGCGGCCACAACGGCACAAAACCGTGGTACCTGACCGTCGGGCTCAAGGACAAGCGGGATCCCAATGCTGTTTCTTACAAAGGCACGCAGACAGTGAACAGTTATATCAGCATGCCGAACGAGTTCCTCCACAGCCTCGACGGAGGCTACACCAACTTGTGCGCTTATCGTCTTGGCGAGCAGAATACAACCGCAGCAGAAGGCAACGGCTCGTGCAACGGTGTGCTGAGCGCCGCATGCACCAAGTACATTCAGACCTTCCGAGAAACCATGTCCTTCTCTAACGGTAAATGCCCGGAGTTCTCCCCTGGGCAAGGCTGCGGCGACGAAATCATCGCGTCGAGTACGTTTCTATATCTTCTTTCACTAAACCTGCAGTTTCGGCCAAGTTGCTAACGTGATGGATGGCCCTTGACAGGCGCTCCAATAAATTTGACCAACACGAGCTCTAGTTGCTCAACACATGGGCTTCCCGGGGTAGTTGATATACCCGAGAATTTCACTACTCGCAGCCTATTCGGATTCGGCTGGCTCTATGGAGACAGGGACATCAACTCGTTGGAGTCGTACGACCTGCATGTTCGTCAGCCAAACCCCGTGCTGCTCGCCTTCGGCTTGAAGCAGGGTCATGGCCAAGATAAAAGTAATGACACCGTCTATCTTGACCAATTGCTCTGTGTTACGCCGGATCATATTGCTGCTGGAAGTCATGACCCAAAGTCCTCAGCGGCTGCGCCGCGATTCAATGAGGCAGTGTTGTTGGCAATAGCGCTCAGCATAGTTTATGGCATGCATACTCTGATGTAATATAATGGTTAATGACGTTACATTAACTAACTAGCTAACTTGGGAGAAGGGCGTTAGTGGTTGTTTAGTGGCTAGTGAAAACCCTTGTGAAGAAGGCACACGCCAGTGATGGATAGAAATGTATTGAAACTGAAACAGAGCCTTGCATCAGTTTCAGTCACTGAGACAGAAGTCTTTTTCGGTTTCGTTTCATATGTTTCACATGATTCAATACATTTACACCTATTCCGGTGTAGCTAGTGGCTTTAACAGCTCCCTATAATGAATCATATGGGTCATAGGATATATTAACTAATTATTTCACAGGTCTCCGAACTAAAATCATCCTTTATATTAATAAAATTTATATAATTTTTTATAATAAAATATTATCTATAAGCAAGCAGATTTATAATTTAAAATAATAGCCTAGCTAAAGTTAAAAATATATACTACAGCTAATACATTTTAATACTAGTAATTTAACTAATTACCTAGCATTAATAATTATCCCCTGCTCTTCAGCCCCGCCACTATTTTATCTCAGGGCCCTATTTATAAAAAACAGGCCGTGGCACAATTAATAACTATCTTACAATTCAATCGCCAAATGTACAGGCTTACCAATGGTGCCCCCTTGACTTAAACCTTCTTATAATTCAGTCTAACTTACATTTACTCCTCCTGTACAACATAATAAACATATCTATAATGGCTTACTTTACTACCACCCTAGATCTCGTTCCTAAGCCTGTCTTTAAGCTCCTGAAGCAACCTAAGGCTGATAGATCTGCCTTAAACAAGCATAAGCACTTTAAGATTGCCTTTATTAATAAATACAGCGCCCCTAATATCTATATTAATAAAAAGAATAATACTCTGTGGTTCTTATAGATCGGCCTTATTAAGTTAAAGCCTATGCACATGGAGAACAGGACCAGTACCTTTATTGTCGGGCTATAATTAAAGGTAGCTGCTAGCTTAAGTAAGCACTAATACTATAGGACTGTTACTGCTATTACTATATTAAAAGAATGGGGCTATAAGAAATATATTAATTCTAATTCTTATATATTATAACTTTGCTAATTAGTTTACTATTATAAAAGTAAATATAAAATTAAAATTTTTATAAATTATTAAAATATTACTTACTTTACTATTACTTAAAAAATATTAAGCTAATAAATTAAATATTTTAAATTTCTTTTATAATTTAACTTTAAATTTATTTATTATAAAAAATTAAAAAATAAATAAGCTAATATATTAAGTAAAAGAGTTAATTATAAGCAAAAAGTATTTAAAAATATAATATAAGTATTATAATTTAATAATAATAGTAATATTAAATAAATATAAATTTATATAATATTTAAAGTTCTAGAAAATAACCTTATTGTTACAACCTGAAACCATAAGATACATACTCCGGATATACTACAGACCGATGGGCCTATCAGGGAAAGGATCACAGCTCTAAGAGTAAGCCATCCTAGACAGATCACTATTGTAAGAGTAAGCCACTACAAGAGGATTACAATTGGGATCGTAAGCCTCATAGAACGACTTACTATATAAAACCGTTTATTACGCTTATTAAATATAGCTTAAATAGTCAGTCGTTAATATAGCATTTATATAACAACTAGATTAGACCCTCATCTAAAGTTATTAGCTATATAACTAAGACTGCTCATAAGATCCTTTGCATCTCTCTGCCAATATAAACCCAATGTTAAAGGTTTATCCCTTGGGAACTAGTTACCCTATACTAGGTATAGGATCAGAATGTTATACTTATACTTAAAGAAATTAAAAAATTTATTAAAAATTAAAAAAATAAATAATACTTAAAAATTATTATTATAAAATTAAAATATTTTAAATAATATAGAAAAATTTAAGTATTTAAAAAACTATAAAAAAAAGTAATTAAATATATATATAAATATTTACTATATAAATATAAAAGTATAATAAAAATATATAATTAAATATTAATATACTATAATATTAAAAAGCTTAAAAAATATATAAAGTATATTATATTATACTATAATATATATTAATAAATAAAAAATAAAATATATAAACCTTATAGAAAACTATAATAATTATTTATTATAAAATAACCTTAGGCATTAATTACTTTTAATTATATTATTAATTTACTTTTATTAAAAAAACTATTTATAGGTATATAATATATTAGTATTTTTATAATAGTTTATTAATTTATAAAGCAAGTTTACTTTTTATTATATAAAAAGTTATATTTATTAAAAAACCTTGCTTATATTTATATAAAAATAATTATTATTAATTATAAATTACCTAAAGAAATTATTTTAAATTAAAAATAAATATTTACTTTTAAAATTTAATAAAAACTTATAATTAAATTAAAAATAAACTATAAATTTAATACTATATATTACCTTTAAATAAATAAATAAAATAAATATATAAATTAAATTATTAAAGTTTATTTATAAACTTATATTAACTTTATATAAAATAATTAAGTTAAAAAACTATTAATAGCTTAACTATACTATAATAATATATTATTAAAATTTATAAAATTAATGCTTTTTTTTATAAATTATAAATTTATACTAAAAGTATTTAAACTACTATAAAATAAATTTAACTTAAAGAAAGTATAATTATAAGCTAAATTAATAATTAATTTATATAAAGAAATATATATATAATTTAAATTTATTAATAAATATATAAAAAAATATATAAATAAAAATAAAATTATAGAATTAATTTTTTAAAAAAGAGATATAGTTTACCTACTGTAATATTTATAAAGGTATAAACTATTAAATATTAAAATAAATAAGCTAAATAATAAATTTAATATTAAAAAAATAAAACTTTATAAAATTTTAAAATAAATTAAAAAAGCTAACTATAAGCTAGCTTTATTAAATATAATAAAAATATAAAATTTAGTTTTTTATATATTATAACTTAAAAAAGTATAAATTAATAAAAAAACTAAAAGGTTTATTTTAAATAAAATTATTATAGAAAATTAAAAAAAAAATATAAAATTAAAAATATTATTATTATATATTAAAACTCTAAAACCTAAAATATTAAATATTTTATTAAATAAAAAAAATACTTAAAACTTAAAAACTTATAGGAATTTATTAAATATTTTATCTCTTAGGCGCTAATAAAAGAATTTCTCTAGACACTAGGCTTAAATTAATAAATACTATATTTTAATTAATTATATTAATACTGCTGCTAAGTTATATATTAACTACTGCTTTAGACTTAGTATACTTTATATTATTTAATTTATTAAATAATTAAGCCCTGTAATAAAGCATCTGCTTACTATATATATTAATTTTCTAATACTACTTTTAAAAATATAATAATTATATAAAATTTTTATTTATTAATTAAGTTAAAACTATTATTTATTACTAGTTTTATAATAATTACTATTTAATTTAATACTCTTTTATATTTATTTATTTTTTTTTAGTAGTTAAATATTCTATTATTATAATATTAATAAATAATATATTATAAAAATTAAGAAAACCTACCAGCTGCTAAAGAAATACTATTTCTATTATAAAAATAACCTTAGTATATATATTTTTTATAATTTTAATAACCTTGTATTATTGTATAAAAAAAGCCCTTAGACTTATAAAAAAAATAAAGTATAATAATAACCCTAATAGTTTTTATAACTAAAATAGCTGCCTTATGGTTTTAAGTAAACTTCTTTATAAAAGAAAGATAAAAGGATTTAGCAATGCCTTTAGGCATAATAAAAAAAACTAAATTACTTATAAAAGAAAAACAAGCAATTTAAAACTTATATACTATTAGACCTTAAAGATAAAACTAATAGAAGGGGGGTATTATATTATAAATTAATTATATAAGACCTATGAAGTATATACTTTTAGTAGAACTTTAAAATTAATAGCTAATTATAGCTAAAGAAAGATAGCTTACTTATAAAAGAAGTATTAAGGAAGTAAGCCTATAATACTAAAGTACTAGGCTTACTAGCTACTTAAATATATTATAAAGTAAGCCTATAAAATAACTTACTATATAAGACTATTTATTATATTTATTAAATATAGCTTAAATAGTTAATTATTAATATAGTATTTATATAATAACTAGATTAGACTTTTATTTAAAGTTATTAGCTATATAACTAAAACTGCTTATAAAATCCTTTATATCTCTCTGCTAATATAAACCCAACGTTAGAGGTTTATCCCTTAGGAACTAACTACCCTATACCTAGTATAGGACCAGAATGTTACAACAGGCATACGGAAATTCTAAAGCTACACTTGGCAGAATCCAGGCGGGCAGCAGATTTGTCATTGATACAAAATGGAGCCCTTTTTCATGGACCGAGTCCAGCATACCGTGGGCCACCAGCGAGCGTATTATACGCTCTGCTGAGGAAAGCATCAACAAATTAGCAGTTGACCAAGTAAGATGAAACCTTGCTAAGCCCACACGCAAAGTCATATTTTACAGGATTGATTACTTGATTACTGTATTTTCCCTATACCTCCTGCTGCTGCTGCTGCCAACTTACTTTAATTTTTGTCGAAAAGGTCGACATCTTCTACCTTCATAGGCCAGATCCAATGACACCTATTTCCGAAACTCTTGCGGCAGTAAATGCTATTCACAAGCGTGGCATTTTCCGCCGATTTGGGCTATCAGGCTTCCCTGCCACTGAGATTGAAGCCATATAAAATCACTGCGCCGACCACAGCTATCCTCTTCCCGTCATTTACCAGGGCAGCTACAATCCGTTAAATAGACATAAAGAAACTGCCCTACTTTTGACTTTGCGCAGACTGCGCATCTCCTTCTATGCGTACGGTACATCAGCTGGAGGATTTCTCGGCAAGACCGCGGCACAAGCAAGGGAAATGGCTGACAATGACACCTATGTCTCAGCAACCTGTCGGCCGTATTTGCGCAACGCCAACTTTCTGGAGATACTAGCCCAATGGAACACTATTGCAGAAACCGAAGGAGTGAGTCCGGCTGAGCTAACGTATCGTTGGGTGGCGTACCATTCAGCATTACGCTCAGATCACGGAGATGCTTTCATTATTGGTGCTAGCAGCCCTGAACAACTAGACGAAACACTCAGCGGCATTGAAAAGGGTCCGCTCAGCAACAATGCATGTGCCTATATTCAGGAAATATGGGAAAAGGCAAAGGGAGTATAAGTTGCCATGAAGCATATAACTAGCGCATAGGATTATTACCGTCGAGACTTTGAAAGAAAGCTAGTATATTAAGTCATTATGTTCAATATCCTCTTGATGGTAAACCAAAAACATTACTTAAGAGTTTGCATTAAACTTATCTGTATGAGATCAGTGCAACAATACAATTCATTTACACAAAACTCAAGGTAATGCTTTATTATTTACTGACTAACAAGTGTTTCCTTGGTTACTTACAATAGCAACAATAAAAAAAAAATTGAAGCAGCATGGATGACTTTATTGTAAAGCAAGCTGTTTTAATATATTATTTATAAAAGTTTTTTTTTTTATTATAGCAACAAAGCTAACTTATTTTAAAAAAGAAATATATATAAACTAATATATCTTTAAGGGTTCTTATATGAAATAACGCCTTGGTTATACAGTGGTATATATTCCAGATTTAAATTCTCCTAAAATTATACTAGTACTTATATACTATTATATAGGAACATAAATTTATGTTTTTGCTTTACCTTACACAGATGGATTCCAGAGAGGCGGGGACCAGTTGCAGCTTGCCGAGAGAGGTTACGTTTCCACACGCAATCTTAACAATAGAAGCAAATTAACCCAACTCCATTCCATAATGCAGTTTAATCGCAGGTAAGGGTATCGCAGAATCCCTCTCCGGCAGAGCAAAAGTCGGAGTTGGGCTCAACACATGAGCCAATACCACCAGTACCGGTGCTCGCAGCAAAAAAGCAAACTTGATCACCAGGGCAGTCCTATATAATAGTTAATTATACAGTTATAATAAGCAGAATTAACTTAAATAATTAAGACTCATACATTGCAACTGGAGCATCCAGAAACAGTGCTGGCCATGACAGCAGTGAGAGTAAGAACAGAGGTGAAGACCTTCATATTGTCGGTTCGTTGGTAGTAGGATTTAAAATTAAAGTTAAAGAGAAGAGTGTTTGTTTTAATTGTTAATAGTAATACCTTTTAATTGTGATGCTTAAGGGGATTAAGAAGAGTATTTATACATTTGTCAATTTAATATATTAAAATTACTCTTGTAAATGTAATAGCATTGCTGGGCGACTGGACAGACACGCTATACCGTATACCGCTACTTGTTACTTTTCGGCCCATTTACGGAGTATATAATAAGCAATACAATACAGTGGAGTGGAGTAGTAAGACAAGCTAAACATAGGTGGCTTATATAACTTGTTTACGTACAATGTACAGCTTGGCTTCTATACTAAAAAAACACGAGCTGTATAATATAAGACTTGACTTTTATAACTGTGTTAACAAACTGAGCCAGCCAGCCCCCCCCATGTCACCTGAGCCCGAGCCCAGCACAGGTTATCTTTTCAAGTGCAGCAGAGCTGACCCAATATAGTATGCTGTATACATGTGTTGTTACTAGTTTGACTTATAGTATTATAACTAAAGAGAGGATAAAGCTAAGATATTACTATACTACAGTATAGCAAGGAGATATACAGGATATTAAGAACTATTTAAGAGTTCCAGGTTGAAGTTAAGGCGCTATTACGTCCAGTCAAAGCTTGAAGTTTAAACTCCGTAATCTCTTAAATACGAATCTCTCGTCAGCCCTATGCTTAATCTAGTAGCTGTCTTGGCAGTTCTCCAGTCTTTAATAATGCCAGGCAAAGCACTAGTCAAGCCAGGCTTTCTTCATTACATCTATTAGACCGTGCTTCCTAATTAGCTTAGTCTTCTAGAACCCGGCTTCTTTAGAGTAGTTTAATAGGAAAGACTTACAGAAGTCAATCGTACACTACCCCACTTGCAGGCATCAGGCTGCTGATAACAGTCCCCTCTATATAATATCAGACAAAACATATCTTTGTACGTCAACTGGAAAAACTCTACGCCGGCATGTAGTTGCTTACAGCCTTGGTGGCTCGGCCAAATATATAACACATGCTCTGAGTCAAATCCTGAAACTCATCCGCTATGTTCTTGCCTGGTGTCTTTGCGCACCGCGACTGGAAGATTTCGTCCAACACGACATAATAGTGCCCTCCCTCTGACGCCGTGAGGATGAAGATGACAGTCATGTCGTGGCTTGTCTCTGCATAATATTTCTTGTCTTGCCAGTCTGTAGCCGCTTTGAGTGAGCTACTAAACGGGTTGATTTTGTTCAAGACATCGCAATAGATGGCGTTGCCTGCTATTGCCGGTTATATATTAACATATACTTAAGGATATGGCGACTCACTAAGTACATGTAGCTTTATGACACTCGCTTATATTGATTTAAATAGCAAGCGGTAAGGAAACGTGAGAATGTCATGGAGCTGCTCCAAAATTTCTGAATAGTATTAAAGGTCTAATTTTCATAAGAATGGTCTTAGAACAAATCATACATACTCTATTTTAACTGCTGCTGAGGTAATTGATAAGGCCGGATATACAAGTCGCCTGCGGAAAATTCGGCAAGTAACAATTTAAATGCATAAGCAAGTTGCTTTACTGATGTAAAAACACTCTAGCAACCCATGGGGAGAAAATGCGTCGCAGAATGTGGGAGAATGGTCAGGGCTTTGGTTAAAGGGCTTGAAGGAATTGACACCAGATGTAATATAATATTTTACCAGTGAATTCCTTAATAACGGAGTCTTCTGGATGTTATTTGATAATGTTCTCAAAAATTTCAAATGGCTATATCGTACTCGGCTGTTTGATGACCATTGGAATATATCCCAAAAATGGATTCAAGCTTCTGTGCCCTGAGTACCAGCTTTTATCCCAAAGAAATTTCTTATGGAGATTACTGAATCTGCATCAGTTGTTCTTGTGTCATCGAATTTCACCAAAGTGATAAAGACTGAGGTAATCAAAAGCCTGAGCAAGCCTAAGCTAAATATAGGCTAAAGTGCCTGGTTTCACTTAATTAATTATCCTGAATTGATGTTTGTAACAGTTATCTTATATTCACCCGTAACTGGATGCGGTCGAGTTGTGTCTTAATTTTCTTCTCTGTGATGATATATACAAAACCGAAACCAAATCTTCTGTTCTACGTCATTGTTCGCTCAATCCCAGTCTGCTCAATAGCTTCTCCTCGTTCTCTAGCAGCTTCTTCTCCAGCGCCTTCTTTTCCCCGGTTGTGAGCTTCTCCACCTTTTTGATTAGATCGATTCGTTGCTGAATTTCCTCCAACTTCTGGTCTTGCTTCCAGAGATCGTCCCGATGTGTCGCAAGCTCTCGCATGCGAATTGTCTTCAAATACGGAAATAGGATCGCCTTGTATTCTTCCAACTTCTTGTCCACCAAACTCTTGGTTGCCTATTGCTCTTCCTCCACTATTTCGTAGAGGTTCTGACTGGCAGCAAGGGCATTCGGCCTTGCAAGCTGGGCAACCATGACTTCGTCGATCCAGAGGCTAGTGATGCTATTCTCGCCGAGGAAGATTGGGTTCAGACGTGTATATAACCCCCACGAGAGGTGCGGGAAGATCCTATCAATAAACTCGGATTTCTCTTGGGGCTTGATATCCTCTCACTTCGCCTCCAGGGCTTTTTGAAGAAGCTCCTGAACGCACCGAAACGCGAAGAGGTCCTCCCCCACCCGCTTGGTTGCCTTTTCTGATCTATCGAAGAGAACAATGTGCTCTTGAGCCAATTGAATCGCTGGAGATGCGACGCGGTTGTTAATGGGGCCGAAGAAAGGAACCTCGGACTCTCCCTCGCCACAGTTCACGAAAAGAAGCTGGTTGGAGAAGCCAGGCAGAGTGAAGAACTGGTGACGAGATACCCCGTTGCGAAACGTGTGCTTCCGAGTTGTTCGCAAGGTGACGTACTGCTGGGTCTTATTCATCACAAAGTCGTCGACGGTGACGGAATCGTCGAAGAGGAAGATACGGGTCCTGATGGGCACGCGTTCTCCTTTTCGGACAGCAACAAGGAGCTTTGCCGCCTCTTTCCTCATCTCCTCTCCGTACGTGGCTTTGAGCTTCTTGTAGTCAGCAATGGAGAGTGTTTTGTCGTCAAACTTGCTCCACAGCAGATGATTTGGTGGAAGAAGTCCGCCAAAAACCAACAATGCGGGTTAAGTAGCAAAAAAACCAACAATGCTGGTTAAGTAGCACACGATCAAGGTAGGGTCCTCGATGGCCTTTTGGGGGTCGTAGCAGTCGACCGGCCTGCTGTACTCATATTTGTGATATCCCTTGTTCGTCATGGAAGAAAAGATGGCTTTACCCTTTGTATAGATGTCTTGGATCTTGTACCCATACTCGAGAATGCTTAGTCGCTCACGGTTCTCCGCGGTTGGGCTTTGCGCGACATTTTTTTTGGCTTCAACATAATGGATGGGGACGTTGGTCGTGGATTGCTCGTACTCTGCTTCGGTGGCATTGCGCACAGCAGGCGATTTTACGACGATCGCAGCACCCCATAGACTGAAGTTATCCATAGTGGAAGAAGTAAGAGATGACCAGTTTTCCCTATGTGTCTAGGTTGGCTAAGATTTGGGGGGGAGTACTCTGCTCTTCTTCAAGGTTGAATTCTCTTCCGGAGAGAGTAATTCATACATGATTTCATATTGAGATGGCTAGGCCGTCGAGTCAACCTTGCAATTAGGAATTACCAAGTCGGCATCTCAGCTACACTATACCACGCCATACACATAACACATAAGAAAGCTGAGCAGGGGGTAATGACCGAATGATCCACGAGCTTATTAGTCATAATGGGAAAGCAGTCTCGACGACTCCTAACGTAGTGTAGTTAAGCGGCAAGTGTTGTTGTGATTCGCCAAGGTTTTGCCGTTTAAAAGTAATAGTCAATGCCCGTTATAATTGTGCATTACGTCCTAGGACAGTTGTTTGTTGTTCTAGACTTGGCCCAACATCTTCTTTAAGCCGATCGGACCCACCAACTAGTAGAATGTTGCATGGCTAGTCACATCCTAGTCCGAACTAGCAACTGTTTAGCTTTGTTAAGAGTGTTGGTCGTTGCGAGGTTGTAATGCTTATGCTGCTTTCAGCTGTCTACATAGCAGCCACAGACTTCCATTGTCTCGATTGAGTACACGGCTTGTCGCGTGCAATACTCCGACAATGCTGGTTGATGCAAGTAGAATATGTGTAAATGTAACTGGCCAATGGTTAACGGTTAACCCTTTACTTGCAGCTGTCCAGTTATGTGCCGTCTTTTCGTAGGGTTTGTTAAAGCATCAGGTACGCCCTGCAGGGTGGTCGGAGGTCGGTCAGACTCCAGCTTGCCATCTAATACAACGTGGCAACTAATATGACCAACGCCATGTAGGATACGAGGTCCGGCTAGAAAAAGAAACGGTTGCTTCGTTTAGTTGTGCAGCGAAGAGCTTTATGTGCTGCCGAGTTCAGGCAGGTGTGAAGAGTGATAGGCAAGACGAAAATTGCTATACATAGGACCGGGGTATGGTTTGTAGAACTAGCTGATCGATAAACACGCGGCGTCCCGTCCCGCAGAATCATATGCACGCAGTTACAGATTCACGGGTGGTGTTTGCCACGTTAACTTGCAGTTCATGGCGGCTACTGGTCTATCCGCACGTGGCGTTGCTCGAGGTGTGGAGTTTGTGTCTTGACTTCGAGAGCCTGGAGCGTTCCAATAGTCGCCACACTTGACTGCGCTTGAGAGGGGCGAGAAGAGATCTCCAGGAGACGGAATAGCATATAACCTAGCTTTCATCTCCCGTCTTTCGCAGTATATCTTGACAAGGCCCATACCTAACCCATACTTCAGTACAGACTCGAAAAGAAAAATCAATTTCTTATATTGCTTGAAGATGGGTTTCTTCGACTTTATATCTTCGGCTGTTAAGGATGTGAAGAACTTGGTGAGGCAATACTCCTTCAACTCAGCGCACTCGACTGATTTCTAACGTGGCACTATGGCACTGCTAGATTTTACATTCACCAATCGTGAAATCTCTGGCGCCACTCGCAGGTATTGTAGCGCACGCAGTGCCAATAGTCGGTATGTGAAACTCATTTTGACGAAAAGCTTCATGGTGCTTGTCTTCACTGACAAAATGCTGAACACTACACCAGGTCCTATCATCGATAATGCAGCCCCAGCCACTGAAGCTATATTCAGCAAAGACAACGCCTCTCCTAATCCAGGCGAAGATCCCAAGCCTTCTACTTCCGAGCAGCTTAATACACCTGTCACTAATACAGGAATAAACTATACTAGAGTTTGTTAAAGATTTAAATAGCTTTATAAAATAATATAGGGTAGTGTAACAACCTGGTCACTAAGGTCCTATAAGAGTTAGTGGCTTAGAAGATTTCCAAAGGATAAACCTGGTCTTATAGTTTATATTAGCAGATAGGTTAAGGGATTTATAAGTAATAATAATAATATAATATTACTAGTATATAAGCTTTAGAAAAGTATTTTAATTTTAATTTTATATTAATAACTAGCTATTTAAATTATTTAAATAAATATAATAAAGTAAACTTATATATTTAATTATATAAGCTAGATTATAGTATTTTATAAAATTTATTAATAAGTTTTATTAAATTAATATATTAACTTAATAATTAAATAAATAAGTTTTTTTTAATTAATTTATTATTTTAATATTAATTTAATTTAACCTACCCTATAGGTTTATTATTATAATTATAAAAGTTAAGTTATTATATAATACTTTTTTTTTTTAATTTTATCCCTAAGACCTTATAGTTTTAGTATAAATAATATATCTTTTACTTAATAAATATAGTTATTTTTTAGTTTTTTACTAATATTTATTTTTTATTTTTTATTAACCTTTATTATATTAAATAAAATTATTACAAGATTTTTTTATAAAAAAATCTACTAATATAATTTTTTATTAAAAGCTATAATATTTAGTGCAAGTAAGTTTAATAAATATTATTTTTATTATATTTTAAAAAAATATAAATTTTATTTAATTTTTTTATTAAATTTATTATATTATTTAAAATATATTTATTTAAATAAATTCTATTATAATATTTAAGGTTTAATACTTAATTAACTTAATTATTATTATAACCTAATATATTTAGTTATAGCTTAAGATATATACTATAAATTAACTATAAATTAAATAATTAATTTTATATAAATATAACATTCTAATCCTATACCTAGTATAGGGTAACCAGTTCCCAAGGGATAAACCTTAATATTAGGTTTATATTAGTAATATTTTTATTTTAATTATAATAGTTTTTTTTAAATTAAATATAGTAAAAATAGGTTTTAATATTATTATTATTTCAAGTTCTTTAAAGGCTTTTTATTATTTTTTCTTTTATTTAAAAAAAATATTTTTTTTTATTATATTTATTAATAAAGTAGCTTTTTATATAAAGTCTTTAATAAACTTTTAATAATAATTAATAAATTAAAAAAATATTTATATTTTTTTAAATATTATAAGTATTAGCTATTTTTTAATTATAGTAATTTTCTTAAAGTTTATATAAATTTCTTCTAGGGTAATAATATATTTAAGAAATTTTACTTATTAAAAATAAAAAATATATTTTTTAAAGTTAATAAAGAGTTTTATTTCTTTAAGTTTTTATAGTATAAAATAAATATATTTTTTATATTTTTAAAGGTTTTTAAAAAAAATAAAAATATTATAAATATAAGCTATTATAAAGTTATTTAAGTATAGTTTTAATATATAGTTTTTTTTTTAAAAAAATACAAGTATATTAATAAGCCTTTAGAGTATAATTATATATTTATATAATTTATATTTTATAGTAAATACTGTTTTTTATTTATTTTCTTTTTTTATTTATATAAGCTTATAAGCTTCTATAAGGTTAAAAGTTATAAACTACTTTTTTTTATATAATTTATTTTTAATTTATAAAATTAATAACAAAAAGGTTTTATCTTTAATAGTAATTTAATTTAATTTACAGTAGTTAATAATTAATTAAAGTTTATTATTCTTTTTTAGAATAAAAATAATAAAATATCTAACTAGTAATTTTAATATATAAATATATTTTTTTTATAGTTATATTTTAATTTATTCTTTAAGTATTTTTAATTTTCCTTTACTTAAGTTATATATTTTATAAAA